AAATGGTCTAGAATAGCCCCTCTGATATATATATGTATATATATATATATATATATATATATATATATATATATATATATATATATATATATATATATATATATATATATATATATATATATATATAAAATGGTTTGGCTCTAATTCCACTGACCCTGTTGGCACTCATAATTTCTGTTTATCTCAATCACTTACTCTGATAGTTAACTTTGTAACTCATTTTCCAGACAACCCTAATCACTCCTTGATTTGTGTTTTGTCTCTGATCCTACTTATATTCAGTTTCTCCTTGTTCTATTTTAGGTGGTTCCCACCATGCAATTGTTCCTTTAAAACTCTTGTACTTTTTCATAAGACTCACTCTTTTATCACGCTATTAACTACTCCCCTAAATCTGGCTTAGGTTCTTTTCCTAATTTTAATGTAACCTGGATTCAGGAGTATATATGGAGCAAGTATGGAAGCTTTTAATTCTTTTCAGTTCAAGTGTTCTCCAGACTACCCGTTACAAAATTTTATGCGGAACACATTTCAATTCTCTCTAACTTATTTAATAAATGCTTAACTGAATCTTGAAGACATTGGTTCCAATTTTTAACAATTCTGACTCCTTTGACTATTGTCTGATCAGTCTTATCTCTATTAGTAGCAAGGTCTTTGAGTATTTAATCAACAAATTTCTGGATTTCTAGCAGATGAATTTAGAAATATATTATGTCGATGTAATATTATCTAGTTAAAATTACCTCCTCTGATAAAAATATAAACTCTCTTGAAAAGAGAGCTAATATTAGTTATGACTTTTTGGTGATGGTTTTGATGGATTCAACTGTGTCAAAGTTTAAAGATCTTTGAACAAATGATATTTTCCAACTAAATATCTGTAATTTATTGAAATCCTAAGAATTTTTTTAAAAATATTTGTGAACACTTTTCAGAAGCATTTGTTTGATTTTTTTTTAATGAATTTGAGATATTCTACTAAGATAAAAAAAGATAAATTTAGGGAGTCCATGATCGCTTCGCCTAAGACTATATATTCATTATGTATTTGTATTAAAAATATCACTTGGATTTTACACAATCAGATTTCAAGGATTATCTTGGCAAGCAAAAGTTTCTCCTTGTTGTTACTTCAGAACAAAAATTCAAAGCAGTGCATAAAAACCTAAGCAAGACATCATCATGCTGAGAAATTAAGAGTTAATTTGTTGAATACAGGTCAATCTAAATAGATTTTCAAGGATATAGTTATATTGAAAGAGTACTATAACTTTGATGTAGCATACTATAATATTTACAATACTATTTTATCTAATTATATATTATATTAAATACAATACTATTTTATCTAATTTTTTTAATTTAAAATTTATGGATATTTTGAGTGTGTCAGTGGAAGCAGATTTTTTTTTTGCATTTACGATTTTTTTTTATATAAAGAGAAAATCTTTTAGTACTTTTTTTTCATTGAAAGAATATTTTTCAAAATGTTATGGCAAGTTAAATGATTTACTGATCAACACACTTAGTTGTTAAGTTTAACATCTATTTTTATACCATATAAAAAAAATAGGCGGTCTTTTATACCATATAAAGAAATTATGTGGTTTTTTATACTATATGAAGAAAATATGTGGTCTTTTATACTAAATGAAGAAAATATTTAGTCTTGTTTTTAGTTTTATTCCCTTTTTTAATGTGAAGCTATAAATATGTGTCCAGTATTTGACATATATTTACTACTTTATTTATAATTGTATTTATGTTAATTTATGTATAATTTATGTAGTTATATTCTGTCTAATTTTTTAAAGGCTGCTCAAATACTTAAAAAATTTGAAAAGAAATCTTCAAAAATGCAATCTCAGGCTGCTGTTAACTTATCATTCTTGTATTTTTTGGTAATAAATATATTTTTTGAATAACAATATAAAAGTTTGACTACATAACAATAATATGCAAAATCTACTTTTATATGGTTAGGAAGGAGATGTAGCGCAATCAGATAAGCATGCTGAAATTGCTATAAGTAGTGATCGATACAATCCAGCAGGTAATTTGTTTTTGTGATTTTCACAAGTACTTTTGATACTGTGCTTGTTTTATTATTTATTTCTAATAAATTTTTATTAAGCTTTGCTCAACAAAGGCAATGCAGAATATTACAACGGAAATTATTTAAAAGCGAAAGATTATTACGCTGAAGCTTTAAATATAGAGGCATCGTGCACAGAGGCTCTTCATAATTTAGGTAGATATCTATATAATAATACTTAAAAAAAAAAGATATATATATATTTTTTAATTTTCTTTTTTAATTACTTGTTTTTACTTTTTAAGGTTTGTGTTACAAAAAGATGAGCAAGTTTGATGAAGCTTTAGAATGTTTTCATAAATTGAATTTAGTTCTGCCTAATAATGCTGAAGTCATTTGTCAGATTGGCCAAATGTATCTTTTAACATATAGTTTTAATATATATATGTATATATATATATATATATATATATATATATATATATATATATATATATATATATATATATGCATATATATATATATTTGCATTTGTATATATATATATATATACATATATATATACATATATATATATATATATATATATATATATATATATATATATATATATATATATATATGCATATATATGCATATACATATATATATATATATATTTGCATATGTATATATATATATATATATATATATATATATATATATATATATATATATACATATATATATATATATACATATATATATATATATATATATATATATATATATATATATATATATATATATATATATATATATATATATGCATATATATGCATATACATATATATATATACATATATATATATATATATATATATATATATATATATATATATATTTATATATATATATATATATATTTATATATATATATTATCTCTTGTACACACACTTTTTTTATATGCTTGTACAAACATTTTTTATATGCTTTATAATATATTTGTAAAATATTTTCTAATAATAGTATTATAATAAAATTCTTTAACATAATTTACAGCTACGAAAATGACAAAAATACTGCGGAGGCATTGGAATGGTAAAAGCAATTTTATTAGGTTACAAACACATTCAAGCACAATTTTTTTCTAAATATTGATGTTAATGAATTAATTTTTAGGTATCAACAATTGTTGAATATTGTTCCAACAGATTGTGAAGTCTTAAGGAAGGTGGCCATGCTTTATGAAGAAGATGGTGATAAATCTCAAGCATTCCAATACATGTATGAGGTAAGGAATTTAAAAAAAAAACAATAGGATGTTGAATGTGACTGAGTAAATTAATTATTTTTTAAATTTGTCTTATTTTTGTTTATTTTAAACTCTGTGTCTAATTAATGAAGAATAATATTGTATTAGTTGTTAGTTAAATGTGTCATCTGATAAATGAAAGGTAAATTTTTTTTTACTGAGTTTCTCACGCTGCGGATGTGTTGTCTTTTGATGAGAGTGCGTAATATTTTTTAATTTTGTTCAAGAATTTAATTTAACCTATTAGTAATTGAATTTGCTATAAAATTTGAGAGGTTTAATGATTATAAATCATCATTAGGTTTTTGTTGTAAGAAATTTCCTGAGATATGAAATATGATATTTGTAAGGAATTTCCTGAGATATTCCTGAAAGAATTAAACCACTAGGAAATTCACAATTTTCATAATTTATGTTTTTTGTTTTTTTTTATGTTTTTTTTTCTTCAAAATTTTCAAGTCCTAATCTTTTAATTTAATTAAACTGCATTTATGCATTTTGTCATTTCAATAAAAACCTAAATCATTATCTTGGATTGCCTTAGCTGAGGCATTTAAAAAGAGACACATGATGCGAAAAGTTACCAAGTTTTTGAAAACTAGTTTAGGACATAATGAACAATAAAGGAGGTGGTCTCATTAAAATTTAAAAAAACTTTTATATTTTTAAATAAACAATTACCTTGTAAATAAGATTAAATTTTTTTGTTTTGTTTTTGACTTTATGTGTGATAAAAGGTGTTTTTCTAAAACTATATTAAAGGTACCAAGCCTTTGTACTGAATAAAAAGTCTTCTTATTTTCGATTTTTAGACCTCTTGTTTTTAAAAGTTTTTTTTCACTCTTTTAGACTTTTGTTTATAAAAATACTTTATAAAAAGTTTTGATCAAATATGCTTAATTATTAATGAAATGCAGACATAACACTTAGTTCCATAAATTATGCAACATTAAATTTATCTAATAGATAAACAGAAAATATCAAAAGTTTTCCCTTGCAGAGTATTTAATTAAACCAAATATTCAAAAGCACTTTAAGTTCATTGAAAATCTCAGCGCAAAAGAGAAAATAATCACCAAAGTCAATTTAAAAAATTAACTTTTTTTAAGAACTTTAACAATTTATTTTTTCAGAATTAATAATAATAATGATTAATTACTATTAATTTTGAAAGGAATATTTTTTCAAGTTATTGATTATCGAACTGTCGTTTACGTTTCTCTCAGAAATATATTCCAAAATTTTTCATCCAAAAGTTTGCTAAAATCTCTATAAATCTGCCATTTATAAAGATGTAAAAATGATATTTATTTTTTAGATTTTTCTTTTCTTTATTCAGATCTGGTATCAACTAAAATTTAATTTTTTTAACATTTGGTACCTTTTTGCATTATATGCCTCAATAAATTTTTTATATAATTTATTTAAAGTAATGTTTAGTAATACATACTATTAAAGAATTTTAGTTTTTTTTTTTCTTTTTTTTTTTTTTTTTTTGTATATAATTGTTTTAGCAAAAATTTTTGCTTTAATTTAGATGTAAAAGGTGTTAAATAAAAATGTTTTTGTTGTCAACTAAAAAAAACAAACAAATTCTAATATCAGCAGTGATTTTCATTCATGTAAAATTTTTTTGAACAAAACTAATTTTGTTCAAAAATATAAATCTATTTCTAATTATTAATTTCAATAACGTGTGAAAAGTGTTGAAAGTTTGTTTTGGTAATTTCACTTATCTTTTAATTTAATAAATGCAAAATGATTCAATTAAAAGATCATAAGTCATTCATTATATATATATATATATATATATATATATATATATATATATATATATATATATATATATATATATATATATATATATATGTATATATATATATATATATATATATATATATATATATATATATATATATATATATGTATATGCGGTATATATATATATATATATATATATATATATATATATATATATATATATATATATGTATATGCGGTATATATATATATATATATATATATATATATATATATATATATATATATATATATGTATATGCGGTAGTGGTGTAGTGGTAGAGCGCTCGCTTCATAAATGAGTGGTTCGGAGTTCGATCCCCACCACGTCCCTGGTAGTACCGCGCTCAACTCGTTTCTCCGCGCAGCGGCCTTGTTCGTCAAGGTTCGTGTTTAGGAGTTATAGAGTTGAGAGAGGGTTATAGCCACAAATAAGTAGCCTCCTCGTCTGTAGTGGCCTTCTTGGCCTTGAGGAGGTGAATTATAATAAAAAAAAATATATATATATATATATATATATTATAATATATATATATATATATATATATATATATATATATATATATATATATATATATATATATATATATATATATATATATATATATATATATATATATATATATATATATATATATATATATATATATATATATGTATATATATATATATATATATATGTATATATATATATATATATATATATATATATATATATATATATATATATATATATATATATATATATATATATATATATATATATGTATATATATATATATATTATATATACATTATAATTGTTATCTATTTTCTTATTCAATGTATACATATACTCTATTTTATAGAGATATAAATATGTTTTAATTTGAAATAATTATTTAGGCTTTCAGGTATTACCCTTCATGCATTAAAACTTTAGTTTGGCTAGGTGGTTATTATATAGATGCACAGTTTATTGAAAAAGCTATCACTTACTTTGAGAGAGCTGTTCAAGTGCAGTAAGTTTTTTTTGTTTTTGTTCAGGAAATAGTTTAGTATAATTAATTATAGGTTAATCTAAAAGTTTAGAAATTATTAAATTTTTATTATTACGTATAGATGTCAAGTTAAGTTTTAGCATTCTATGGTTTATTACTTATAAGTTATTCATATCGCTTATAAGGTTCTTTAGGTGAAACTTTTTTTATGAATTACTTGCACTGGCAATATTAGTTCAAGATAGCTAAACAAACAATGTTTAGGTTACATAGAATTCATTTTAGGATTTTTATAAATATATCATTTATGTGTATTTCTGCATTGCTATAAGTATTTCTCTATATAGTGCTTATTACAGTTTTTTAACTTGTATTGAGGTATTAAGGTGAAGTAAATTTAGGCTTGATGTGCTATCATTGTTGGTTAATGTTCATTTCTACATCTTGTTGGTCGATGTTTGTTTCTACATTTCTACATATATTAACAGTTGTAACAGTTATTGATAGACTGGTACCAAGTTTGTTACTTGGAATGCTCCTGATTTTGCATTAGATTATGTTCAATAACAATTTATTTTTTTGATAAATCAGATATGTTGTGGTAGAGTTAAGTGGGCTTATACTCCTATAATGTGTGTGAGGATACCATCAGCAAATTTGCAATGTTTAATATTACAGTCAAATATATGGTTTATGTAAAGCGTAAAGAGTATGAATTAGATAGTGTGTATAGGGCTGCTACTATATGTTATATGTTACAGTAATAAGGTTTCTGTGGCTGAGAAGCGTTAAACTAAAACATCTAATGTCCAGTTGCTTTAATGGTTGGTTATCAATTAAACATTTTTTTTTCTGATGTTTAAGGTGTTAATATTTTTATGTTATTAAAACTATTTTTTTAATCTGTTTGTTTTTTTATCAGTTGTTGAGTTCGACCTTTAACTATTACAAGAAATAACACAATGGATTTTGGATTTTTGTATCTCAGCTAGTTACTTGCATTTTAAAAAACAATAAGTTTTCTTTATAGTAATCAAGTTGTAAAATAACTTGATTAATTACCAATTAAATATCATCCCTATATAAGCAATACCATATTGTTTATTACAAGTTACTGGTAGATAAGATATATAATCAACTCGAAGATATAAAAACCTTTATATAATCAACTTATCTTTTAAAATTTTATATAATCAGCTTAGATTTTTAGTTTTTTATATAATTAACTTAATTTTTTAGGCCTTTAGAAGTGCGATGGCACTTAATGTTAGCAACTTGTTACCGAAAAGCAGGTAAAATTTACTACTTAAAATTACAAATGTTCAAAACATAAAAAAGAATAGTTGTAATTCAAAGAAGAACAATTAAGCAAATAATTATATAAATAACTACTAAAATGCAGAAAAAAATCTTTTTAAAAATATATTTATTATAGAATTTATATTTTTATTTTTTGTTTAAATATGGCATTCCAGTTACGAGTTTGTCTTTTTTATTAACTACAAAAATTCTGTTGATCACATTTTTAATTTTTTGCTTCTTTTGTACCAACTTTTCATGCTTTTTAAAGTTATTAAATCTTGGGTGGTTTAAAAATCCGAAAATATTTTGTATAAATTAATGCAGCAAAGAAATCAAAGAATTCCACATAAGTAATAATACTTGAACCCAAAAACAGTCCGAATTGTCCACCAATGTCACCTAAGTTATAATAAAGTAAAGTATTATATAAATAAAACCACTGATTTTAAGGTATAAGTAAAAATGATTCATACCAAGTAATATCATGAGATCATAGCTTGGAGTTTGTTCCACTTGTATATAACTCATTTCCTCATAGAATATTTCTACCCTTAGATAATTATCCCTAAGTAAATAAATAGATTAAATAATAAACCAATTCAACTGTTTTACATTTTTTTTTTAATTAAAAATCTCTGTATTTGTATTAAATCTGTGTAACTTTGTTTCTTAACTAACTTTCTACGTATCTAGATTAACTAACTTTCTACGTATCTAGATTAACTAACTTTCTACGTATCTAGATTAACTAACTTTCTACGTATCTAGATTAACTAACTTTCTACGTAATCTAGATTAACTAACTTTCTACGTATCTAGATTAACTAACTTTCTACGTATCTAGATTAACTAACTTTCTACGTATCTAGATTAACTAACTTTCTACGTATCTAGATTAACTAACTTTCTACGTATCTAGATTAACTAACTTTCTACGTATCTAGATTAACTAACTTTCTACGTATCTAGATTAACTAACTTTCTACGTAACTAGATTAACTAACTTTCTACGTATCTAGATTAACTAACTTTCTACGTAACTAGATTAACTAACTTTCTACGTATCTAGATTAACTAACTTTCTACGTAACTAGATTAACTAACTTTCTACGTATCTAGATTAACTAACTTTCTACGTAACTAGATTAACTAACTTTCTACGTATCTAGATTAACTAACTTTCTACGTAACTAGATTAACTAACTTTCTACGTATCTAGATTAACTAACTTTCTACGTATCTAGATTAAAAATAACAAGTAAAAAAACATGTTTTAAACAAATTTAAAAAAAGTTTTAAACAACTGTTTAAAAAGTTTTAAATAGGTTATTAAGAAAAAATATATTTTTTTAATTTGAATACATAGTAATATACACACAGTGTACTTAAATGCACTCCAAGGCTTTCCATTTTTTTAATTAATAATTGGTATAGATGAGGAAATTTCTGTGACTAAAACTAAGAGCAATCATGATCTAATTATGTTATTTTGAAAAATTTGAACTAATTATATTTACAGCGTGGTGTATGAAACAGTAAAATAATCAACTTTTTTATATCTGAATTGTAAACAAACCACTATAATGGTAGTGACTTCATTTTTAGTCAAAAAAAATTCCATTTTATTATTCCTTACTAACAAAGAGACAAGTTTTTGTAATGAACTATTTTAATAGATAAAAATGACAATATTTCTGTCTGTAATTTTAAACCTTTTTATATTTACAGTTAGTGCTTTTATGTATAGTAATACTATACATATTTACTTTTATGTATAGTATTACTATTAGTAGGCATTGGTATATTTAATAAGCAATTCTTTAAAATTGATAGTTATTGTCATATTTAATGGGAATAATCTTTGATTATTTTTTCAATAATTTTTTTTAAAGTATAAAATAAGTAAATTAAAATAAGAAATATAAAAAATTTATTGACACTCTGTTGGCATTCTCTACTGTGCAAAATAATATATTTTACAAATAGATAATATTTAAAATGGGAAAAGTTGCAAAATCATTTGAAAGTAGAACTCATAATCAGAACAGATAATCTTTCTGCGATCTTCCCATCAACCAATGGTTAACCATTGGTTCATAACAATCAAATGATGGTCTTCCCATCTTCTGCGGTCTTTCCACATTTAGTACAAGTTATACAGTTTATTTACAAGCTCAACAAACAACTCATTGCTAAATAACAGATCAATAGATTGTTTCACAAGCAAGCATAAAACTTGTGAAATCTATACTTCCCTTCATACACAAGAGAAGTATAAGAAAAAATATTGACACTTTTAAAAGAGTTTTGTGGGTTGAGCACAAAAAATCAAATCGGAACAAATTAAGCCTGGTTTATTTGGAAAAAAGTTTTGATTCATTGTTTGGTTTATCTACATCCAAATGTTAATTGTACCTAATTGCATGTACCCAATTGCAATGACTAGTATTACAATTTGTTTTTTAGATCAAAATGTATTCGTGAAGGTCATTTCTTTCAGCCAAAACAAAGAAAGGTCATTTCTTTCAGCTAAAACTTATATAGATAGTGTGCAAAAAATTTTTTTCAAATTAGATACCAGTTTTTTATACTCTGATTTTTTGAGTACTCTTTTTCAACTTTGCCTATCTAATTATTATCAGCTAATCTAGATACGTAGAAAGTTTTTTTCAACTGAAATGATCTTTTTCAACTTTTTTTAGCTCTGTTTTTTTTTTCAAAAAATGATAAAGAGTACTGAAAAAACCAGAGCTAAAAAAGGTGAAAAAACCAGAGCTAAAAAAGGTGAAAAAACCAGAGCTAAAAAAGGTGAAAAAACCAGAGCTAAAAAAGGTGAAAAAACCAGAGCTAAAAAAGGTGGAAAAGGATCATTCCAGTTAGGCAAAGTTGATCAAAATTAATAATAAAATGAAAAAGGAAACACATAGATAAAAAATTATTAATAGGGTTTTTTAGTATTTTTTACTAGCACTTAAGTATTCTACTTTTGGGGCTAAGTGTGGGGATCCCAGTGGGGTGGGGTTCCCAATGGTTTATGTAAATTATTCAATTAAAATTTAAAATAATAAGTTTAATATTTGTTTAGTTTAATGGTTCTACTTCAGATGACGATTTTAATGATGGTAAAAATAACTACTAACTAGAGTTTTATTAAGAACTCCCTTCTTTATACAATTACAAACACTTGCCTAACTTTGCAATAGCTACAACACATTATGAAATTAGTAACTATGTAGTTGCTCATTTAGCTACACAATTACTAATTAACTATGGCATAGTAACAATTACTGATAGAGCAAATCTTATTACAGAAAAGAAAGTTTTTAATGAGAAGTGTCAAATAGGTAAAAAAACTTGGCATTGAACATTATAAAGATGTTTTGCAATTAAAAGTTATTGGAGTTGATGATAAAAATGGTAAAGAAATGCCTGTTCATATAGTTGGTTACAATTTAGATGGCAAACCAATAACAATATCTGGAATTGAAAAAGAAGAACATCTTACATTTACTACAGAGAGTGGAAAAAAACACGACAATATTTAACACATAAATTTATTACGAGTGGAACTAGAGTTTGTAAAGCAAATGTAACTAAAGAAGTTCTATAAGAGTTTATTAACATGGAAACTCTTGAAGCTGTGGTTCTAAACAATACAAATTTAAATACTTGTACAGACTATGGTTGTTAAACTAGAAAAATCTACAGTGGGTGGCCAAATTATTAGGTACACTTAACTTTTTTAGTACTTTTAATGTTTAAACTACTTTAATGAATAAATACGTATTTTGTAGTTATTTGTTTATTGTTAGAGGGCTCTATTTAGAATATAAAAAACATAATTACTTACTCATAGCTATTTATTAAAAAAAGAAAGTTAAAACATAATAAAAAAAGGTAATAATCTTAATATTTTGTAATGCCAACTCTTTGCTACAATAACGGCTTCCAGGCATTGGGGCATGCTTTCTATGCAGTTTTTTGCATTGTGTTGGAGACTAGGGTTTTTATGCCGCTCTCTTATAAAAGTTTCTATCAACTGTTGCTTGGAGGAATGATTTTATTGGCAATTTCCCGTTTTGTAAACTCCCATAGATTTTCTATGGACTTCATATCAGTTGAATTACCCAGCCAAGGCAAAACGTGCACAAATTGTTCAGTTAGTAATGCTGTAACACTAGTCTTATGGCACGCTGTGGAGTCATGCATGAACATATAATCTTTATTACAAGGGAACCATTCTTGGACTTGAAGGCAAGAGCCTGTTTCCAGTATTTGCTTGTACTGGTTCTGCCTCATGGTTCTTTCCGCAATGTAGAGGCAGCCCATACCCATGCCTGAGATCACAGACCACACCATAATACTCACAAGATTTTGAATCTTTTCCAAAAGGGTGAATTTTTCTCAGTCCTAGTTGAATTTATCTGATGGGTGGTGTCAAACAAATGAGCTTTTGTCCATCAAAATTTGAAATTTTTACTCAATTTAAATTGAACATTACAAATATATTTTAAATTATAAAGCTATAGTTTTTCTAGTTTTTTACAAAATTATAAGTTATATTTACTCTACTCCAGTCTTCAATAGTCATAATTTGGTGTTTTCTAGCCCATTCCAGTCCCTTTTTTTTAGTGGCTTCATTTAAACATGGTTTTTTAATTGGACAACAACCCATTAAATTATCTTCAGCCAACCTTCTCCGGACCATCTTTTTGGAGGCAATATTTTTCTTTTTTTCTTCCTATTTTAAAGACAATTATCTCTAATTTTATGGTCAGTATTTTATGAGTAGTGATTCTTTTTCTGCCACTTTTGCCGATACAGTCTGGTTCTAGAGGCATATTTGTATACATTTTTCTTTTAATTCGGTTCACTACTGAGTTTGAAACGCTTGCAATTGCTGTTATCTCTTTCTGAGAATGTGTAGAATTATAAAAAAATAATATTTTTTTTCCTTACATTTTCTTAGGGTTAAGTCTCAAGACTTGTACAGATACAAGTCAGGATTTGTGGACTAAAATTAGCAAAAATAATTAATTACTAACATAAATAATTTAATTATTGACCAATACTTTGGTTTTAATA